ATGCTATCATAGCATCAGAGAACACTAACAATCACACGGTAAGTATCCTTCACTCTGTAAAAAAAAGAAACTTGTTGCTAATTGATTGCTTAAACTGAACTAGTTATTGACTACTGCCAAATGAGACAACCTGGTTATGATGATTGATGACTGCTTCTGCAATAAAATCTCAGTGAAGTAACTCCCTTTTGTTCAACGATCATGGTAGGTTATGCATCCCTTTCTCTCTCTCTCTCGGCACGCAGATAATCTTCTAGTGAATCAATCATGGTGTTGAATTAATGATTTATCATGCCACAGAGGCAAAAAAATTTTCTTTTCATTAAGATGGTAATGGCTTTAATTTCATCATCCATTTCCTTGTGTTGAGTTAATCATCATAGCAGTGGTGATTGATGAGCTATAACTATCATCCAAAAGTTCAGTTGAGATGCAAATGGAAAAGTATTGTTCATTTATTGAGTTTAAAGTTTATTTCAACTTAATTTTGCTTCACAGCAATTTATTTCATGTGTTCCATAGTTTTTTTTTCCCCTTTACTTTCTTTAGTTGGCAAGGGTAGACCATGAACTCTACCTGTTTCAAATATGACTCAAAAAATCGCACCTATGAAATACTATTTATTTATTTATTTTCTTAATTTTCTTAATTTTATTTTTTAACAACCTAATTTTTTTATTTATTTTTTTTATATAATTTCATCATTATATATTTATTAGATTGTTTTGAAAATTATTCTTCGTAATTATTTTAATTTTTTTTATTAAGTTATATATCGGTCTTGTGAATTTTTCTTCTTCTTAATTTTAACTTTTACTATTAAATCTATTAGGAGGGGGGCATATTTTTTTTTATAAATTTATTTTGATATTATAACCTAAATTGTGAGTTTAATTTGTTAACTTGGGTTGACTCGAGTCATTTTATTATTTTTTAATTGATTTTTTTTCAATTTCATCCTTCAATATTGAATTAGTTGAAAATTAAAATTTATAGTGTTTTTGTTTTTGCTAAACATATGATTATCCTGATCTTATGACCCGAGTCGTGGGTTTGATAGATTGACTTAAGTTAATCATGTTTATTTTTTTGTCCTTTTTTATCGAATAATTTACTTTTTATGAGATTATTCCGATCTTATGATTCGGGTCACGGGTTTGGTAGGTTGACCCGGGTTAACTCGATTTAGTTTCTCGAGTCCTCCTTTTCTTTTCAATTTCATCCTCTCATAACTCTTATTCTTCGTAATTATTTTAATTTTTTTTATTAAGTTATATATCGGTCTTGTGAATTTTTCTTCTTCTTAATTTTAACTTTTACTATTAAATCTATTAGGAGGGGGGCATATTTTTTTTTATAAATTTATTTTGATATTATAACCTAAATTGTGAGTTTAATTTGTTAACTTGGGTTGACTCGAGTCATTTTATTATTTTTTTTAATTGATTTGTTTTTCAATTTCATCCTTCAATATTGAATTAGTTGAAAATTAAAATTTATAGTGTTTTTGTTTTTGCTAAACATATGATTATCCTGATCTTATGACCCGAGTCGTGGGTTTGATAGATTGACTTAAGTTAATCATGTTTATTTTTTTGTCCTTTTTTATCGAATAATTTACTTTTTATGAAATTATTCCGATCTTATGATTCGGGTCACAGGTTTGGTAGGTTGACCCGGGTTAACTCGATTTAGTTTCTCGAGTTCTCCTTTTCTTTTCAATTTCATCCTCTGATAACTCAATTTTTTTATTAATTTTTTTTTTAATTTTATCATTTAATATTAGGTTGTTTGAGAATATGGTTTCATGATTTTTTTATTATTTTCTTTGAAGTTACCTCAATCTCATGGATTTAGTTGTTATTATCAATTTTAACATTCAATATTGCATCTATTGGAAATGAAGTTTAATAAAGTTTAATGAATTTTAATGAATTTCTTATTTCTTTTTATAAAATTATCTTGGTTTTATGACTTAAATCACGGATTTAAAGAAGTTAGCTCGAGTTGATTTTGATTATTTTATTTTTTTAATTATTTTTTTATTTCATCATTTAACATTGGATTGGTTAGAAATTATTGGGCTTCATATATTTTCTTATGGAGTTATTTGATTTCATGACCTGAGTCGTAGGTTAACGCGAGTAATTTTTTTTTTTATTTAATATATTTTTTTATTTTATTTTTTAATACTAAATTAATTAAGAATTAACTTTCATAATTTATTTTTATTTGCTTTTTATTGAATTATTATTATCTCATAAACTGGGTTGTATATTTAATAAATTAACCCAAGTCAATATAATATGTTACTATTTCAATATTTTAATTTGCTTTTTATTGAATTATTATTATCTCATAAACTTGGTTGTATATTTAATAAATTAACCCAAGTCAATATAATATGTTACTATTTTAATATTTTTAAAAAATATCATCTAATATATTATCTTATTATTATTTTAAAATGATGTCCAATATATATAAAATTTTAAATTTATAATTAAATTTTTTGTTAAAAATATATTAATAATGTTTAAATTTTTTATATTAAAAAAAAAACCTTTAGCACATCCTAACTTTCAAGCGTCTGAATGACTGCTGCTAAAACCAAGCGTTTGCTACTTTCACATTTTTGGCGCTGCGATTGGCATTTGATTTTGCTTTAATGGGGGGAACATAATGAGAGCCTGGTAACCATCCATATACCTCGCATGTAGCTGCTGTCATTCAATCCAATCCATCCAATACAAGACAGCAGATGCAGGTAACCTCATAGAATTCCATGAGCTCATGGGTTACAGTTTCATTGTTGGTAGCAAAATGGCCAGTCCTGTTGGCTTTTTCTTAAAAAATAGCCACTCTGCTTTTTCTAAAGCAGGAGAAACCCCTCTGCAACTTGCATATGAAAGCACCTCCATCCACTTTATTCGTCTTCCAATCAAGACATTAACTGGCCACAAGTTACCACTTGCAACCACAAAAATTATGTCATTTATTTACAACTTTCGGTTATCTACTTGCTCTCTGTTTTCTCGACTATATTCTTATTCCTCCAATGGTTTTAGTTGAAATATATGATATAATCTTTCGGATTTAAATGCAGCTCTAGTTTTCCAGCTTGTTGGTTACTTGGTTAAATCTAATATGTCCATGAGTAATGAGCATGATCCAAATATTTAAAAGAATTACTAAAAAAAATAATAGTTTTTTCTATGAACATGATTTATATGAAATAGTAGTTTTCATTGTTGAAAGAATATGGTTCTTTCTTTTTCTTCTTTTATTTTGGATTCTCTATATCAACTTGATAAAATTTACAAAGATATTCTCATGTAGAATATCATTTTGATTCTAATAATTAAAATAGTATTGAAATAATTAATCAAGAAATCAAGTTCTCACATAAGAAGTAAGTTTTGTCTTAATTCCACGTAGCTACGTGTTGAAAAGGTTCGAGAGGTTACCAGCTGAAGTAATTTTGATTCCCCACACAGCTTATCCAGTCCTCAGAGATGCATCATATCCATAACATCAATGAAAGACGAGCGAATAGATTACTTATCGAGGACTTATTTGACACATTAGTGAAAAGAAGGAAAGCAGAAGATGCATTATACCCTTAGCATTAATGCCTGATTCCCACCCCAATACCACAATTAGAGGCATATGGGACAAAAGCAAATGGTTGAATAAAAGGAATATACCATGATAGATTGCTTTGGTTGCGAATCTGATGCTGCAATTCATAGTCTTCTGAACTCCCTTCTCTTTTCTTGACAGAGATTTTCACTCTGTTATTGTCATCTCTATTGTCTTTCACTCTTGTTTATCGAGACGGTGGAACCACTTGGAGAAAATACGAACGTGGGCCACCGAGAATTTGCATCCTGGTTTAAGGCATTTGATGATAGATCCCCTGTTTGCTGCCTTTTTAGGCTTAAAATATTGGACCTTAGGCGTATCTTATCTTCCAATTTATTCAGTCAAAAGAATTGTCCACCTTGCATGTTAGCGCAATGCCGAATCAAGATTGAGGTTCATATGAAATATCTCTGGAATTCGTCGGCAATTGCTCAACCTTTCTAAACCATGTCACTGGCAGTTCTCCGCTAAATTCATCCTTCAGTTCCAGGCAACCAAGCTGCAATTAAACCATCTGTCTTTTCCAAGAGCCATGGTTCTATAACCAAAGGTCTTCCAGATACCAGAACAACCAACGTGGGGATTTAAGTCATCAGCGACCGACCTTATTGTATCAGCTCCAGTGGAGGGAGATCACAAGCTCTGAATTGCCACCACTGAACTCTGCATAAGGAGCTTCACCTACAGTTGCAATGGCATGAGAAAGATCTTGGCCAACTAGGGTGTCTGGTGACGGATTTTTCTCATAAATCACTTTGGTTTCCTCTCCCACTGCTTCTTTGATGGCATCATTAGATTTGATGTCAAATTAAACATAAAAATTAGATTCAATTCCCATGCACTGAAAAGGGATCATATACCATTGTGCCACATTTGATGTCAAAATCAAGTTTATGATGGGTGGCTCTGGGAGCACTTTTGTAGGATAATCTACAATAAACCTACAATTGTTGAATTATGGAAATTTACCACTGATGGCAACAGCGTGAATCTGTCAAGATCCAGCAAATGATCCAAACAGCAGCATAGGCCCATTTGGAGCCCTGAACAAAAGGCCCAATTTCAGAGGGGTAATTGGTGTATGAAATTGTTTCGATGATCTATGACAGACAGCAGAGCTATATCTACACCTTGGGCAATAGCCCAAGCTCACATTTAATAAAAAAAAATACTTCTCATTTTATAAAATAAAAATTATCTTTATTTAATAAAAAAAATTTAAATACAAAATAAAAATTGCTCATATTAGATATACATAAAAATAAAAATAAAAATATTTCTTAAATATTTTAAAATATTTTATTTATAATTTTACCAAATGCCTCTATCTCGGCAAACAAGAAGAAGAAAACACTGGAAACCAATAAACTTATTAATTGTCCTAAAAAAGAGAACAAGATCAAAGGAAAATGATGAAAATATAACGATTAATTTAAACAACGCATTTTATTCTAGTGATTCTTCCTCTGATTTATCTTGAATTTCCTGGCTTCTCTTGTTAATATAAGAATCCTTATGGTACCTCTTCCAGAACCAATGCTTCTTCCATACCCTTTCATTCATTTCGTCAATTGGGATCCCCTTCGTCTCAGGAAGAAAGAAAATAGCAAAAATACCCATGACAACAATCCAGGCAGCGAAGAAGAAGAAAATCCCAGATCGCATGTGGCATAGCATGGTGAGGAATGCTTGAGCAACGAGGAAGGTACAAAACATGTTCATGCTAACAGCGAAGAAGAAACCAGCACTTCTTGTTTCCAGAGGGAAGATTTCACTGGGAATCAACCAGCCCAAAGGACCCCATGACCACGCGAAACCAGACACAAATACACAAACCAAGATGACCACAAGCTTTGCGGAAGCTTTCGGCATGATATTGGCAGATTTCAAATGCACAGCAAGAATCCTTCCCATTATGGACTGCATACAAAAGAAGAAAAGGAACAACGACCACAGTCAGAAATAACTAGACAATGCAGATGAAGCTCAGCAATATTGTCAAGTGTCTGTTTTGCTTACCTGGGCAACAAGCATCTGAAGACAAGCTTCTATGAGCAATACCCTTCTTCCAATAATATCAACAAGAAACACTGCAACCAACGTGGATACTGCGTTGACCAAGTCAGTGACTACAGCTGATAGCAGTGACCCATCACTGCCATAACCCATAGTCTGAAACAGCACTGGGGCATAGAACATCACAACATTGATTCCAGTGAACTGCTGGAAGAATTGAAGAACTGTGCCGCAAATAAGTTGAGGCCTATTAGACCGACTCATGAGATTTCTGAAAGGGTGTTTGACTTGTTTGGCCAATTCAATAGCATTCAAAATCTCTGCATATTCTTTGTCTACATTGTCAACGCCTCTAATCTTCCTTAAAACACGCAGAGCTTCTTCATTCTTTCCCCGCTCTAAAAGGCTCGCGGGGGTTTCCACGATTACAAGAGATCCAATGGCGAGAATTATAGCAGGCACTGCAGCGCACCCTAGGGAAATTCTCCAGCCATAAGGATGCACTTTTGAAGTAGCATAATTGATCAGATTTGCTATCAGAATGCCTATTGTGATTAGAAACTGAAAACAAATGTTGAGGCCTCCTCTATATTTTGCTGGTGCGATTTCTGATATGAACAAAGGCACCGCCTGCATTCACCCTCTCTGTGTAAGAACTAATAGAAAGCAGCAAATAGTACATAAATTGAAAAGAGAATGAAGAACGAATCTGGAAAAATGGAAAGCTAGTTGATTTACGGATTGAACTGCATACCTGGTTGCCAAATCCAACTCCAACACCTAGACAAATCCTTCCAGCAATCAGCATGCCAAGTTTCACTGAAACAGCGTTTAAAACGGCTCCAGCAAGAAAGAAGATGGAAGCGGCTTGAATAGTGGGTTTTCGGCCGAATTTCTTGCAAAAGAAAGAGGCTATAAAACTAGAAACAATAGCTGCAAGGTAGAGTGAAGATGTAAAGAGCTGAAGAAATTGGTTATCATATTTGCAGTAGTTATCCTCTCTTGCCTCGTGCTTCTTGAGATAAACAGCCGGAAAGAACTTCTCCAAGAAATCATCCATTGACGTCACTCCTCCTACAAAAACATATATAAAAACAACAACATGAACATTTATAATGGTACAAATTTTAATGCTTAAATCTCAAATATAACGAAACAAGGAAAATGAGTCGTACCGGAAATGCCAATATCATAACCAAACATGAGACCACCGGAGGCTGCAATGATGCAGCAAATGAAGACCTGCCATGTAAGCTTGGAAGGCAAGTCTCGGCCACCACCTGATTCAGCCATGGATAAACCAGCCATGAATGTGAGTTTAGTTAGTCACTTTTGTTATGAGTTTTTCAGCTGGGATGTCAGCTATGAATTGTAAGGTTGCATTGAATGAAGATTATCATCCTGAAATCTCGGTCAAGAGTAGATTGATTCTTTTTTCTTTTTTTTTTTCCTTTTGATTTAGGTCATAATCCTATGTTTTGACCAGAAATGTAGTCCTTCAGTTTAATTTTTTATCCTTCTATCAACACTCCTGATCAAGTGATCAGATAAAAGAAAAGCATTTGCTATCAAACTTGATGGAATGACTATATTACCAGCACAAATTTAGGTTTAAGATCCAAATCAAAATTAAAAAAAAAAGATTAAGGATAATATTTGAATAATATTTTTTTAAGTTATTTTGAATTAGTTAATTGTTATTATTTATGTAGAGTAAGATAAGAAAAGTTTGAATTTTTAACTAATTCCTCAAATCTCTCACTCAAGCTCCAGCATCTAGGACTCAAATAAAAGAAATTATCTTAATGGATAACTTTGATTTGGCTCATTATCATCTCTGATTTATTTTGTTCATGCAACCCTTAATAAAAATTCCTTATCCATTATATTTTATGAAATAAAATTTGTATTCACTCAAAAGAAGGTTCCAAACCCAACATAAAAGATTGCTCAAGACCTTTTGGACCTTTCTTCCAGAAAAATCTTTGATGTATCTTACGAAGATGGGTACCAGAAACAATTTAGAGAAGCCCTCTACAATCTTTCCAACACTAGATTAGGACAAATGTTTTGTAAATCAAATGAAAAAAAAAAGAAGGTATATTTAGAACGATAGAAAGATATATGCTCAAATGTGCATGCATAAATATGTATCATCTGTGTCTGCAGGAAAAAAGTTGAGACGTGATCTGATTCACAGAAAAACTTTCTATTTACTTTACAAAGAGTAACAATGGAAAATCGGCAATATTGAGGAGAATGAGATACACTAACGTTTTGACCCTGTCAGTTGTTGTCAGATTGGCTCCACAACTAATGGCATTTTAACTTCTTCGGTGTAAATTTTACAGGAAAAAATAAAATAAAAACATAACCTGCTTCTAGATAGATAGGTGTAATATTTTCCATTATACATACTACCACAGGCTGACTCCGTATAGCCGTCACTTGCTCTTGTGTTTCAGTGCTTCTATGATTGGTGATTCTATCCATTGATCTCAGTTTTGTCTTCAGATTTATCTTTGTTATCTTCAACGGCCCTTGCAATATCGTTACCCCTGCTTGCCTCGGATATGTCCGTACCATTCTCCAGAACAATTGACTTTCCAGGATCCTCGGTTTTTTCTCTGTCATCTGAACTATTAATTTCCCTTTCTGGCTGCGATGGGATGGTGACATTAGCTTCATCGTCGGCCAATTTTTTAGATTCACCTTCAATATCTCTGATGGATTCTGAGTTTGTAACCTCCACTGCTTTAAGTGGTTCCATGATATCCTCTTGTCTATCTAATCTTTGAGATTCGTCATCACTGTCTTGTACATGCTTGAACTTCTCGTTGCTGATAAATTCACTCATCTCTGATTCGTTCACATTATGAATAGTGTCAGCTGCAGAGTCCTGCAAATGAGGAATATACAGTCCCGGTCAATATCACAGGGAAATAAGTAGAGAATTTTAGTATACTTGCATTTCTTGATGTCTTTGTACAATAAAGGCAAGAATTCGCCAAAAGAAACATAAATCTTTCGAAAAAGAATTCTAAGCAAATAATAATACTGGAATGAACTTGCTGGAAAGGAGTTGCTAGTATTCAATACCTGAGAAAGCAATACAGAATAACTTATTTTCAAGAGACAGGAAAATGACAGTGTACCAAAATCCATTCCCTATTTAATTTCAAGAATAAGAGGAAAAGGAAAAGAAATGCCAATCTTTACAACCGGAGTTCCATTTCATGGCAGCTTCAGAATCTAAGCCGCCTCCATCCCCACCCTCAAGCACTCGTTTTAGCAGTAGAACGAGTTACAAGGAAAAACACTATTTAAAAGCATCGTATTACCTTCGCTTCAGTAGTCACTAAGATGTTGTCGTCATCAACAGCTGGTGTTGATGGGTTAAGGACAGCCCTTTGATCAATTAAATCTTTAGGGTCACCTTGGACATCCTTAGCGGTTTCCGAGGAGACAATAGCCTCTCCTGGCTTTAACAAGTCTTCAATTTCCTCGTCTGCTATTTGTGTTCCAAACTCATCAGTTTCCTTGTTGGTTCTTGAATTATCAACTTCCTCGATTGCTTGAGATGATGAGACAATTGTTTCATTTTCAGTTAACACTCCAGGACTGTACTCATGGCCTTCTAGGGAAGTAATATTGGCTGGTTTTAGTGTTTCCACAAATATCTCATGTCCAGTCGAAAATTGAGGTTCACCTTCACTGCCTTCAAAAGACTTCAACTTCTCCAAATCGTCGTTCTTATTTATTGATGGATCACTAACATCACTGATGTGATTAACTTCTCCTGCAACATCTCTTGGAGGATTTGTTGACTCCTATTCAATGAAACAAGTGCAATGATAAGCAGAACAATATAAGGAACTTGATAATCTTATGACATGTTACTACCTCGTTTTCTACTATAACTCCAGGAACTTTTGAACCGACATGCTCCTCGTCTGGTTTTGATACGTTAATGCTTGCTTCATTGTCCACAAGTCTTGCAGATGCACCTTCAAGATGATCAGCAGTTTGGGGTTCTTCAAGTGGTTTTGACAGCTCTACAGAAGCCTCGTTACTGATCAATGTTTCTGATTCGTATTCTAAGTTTTTCCTAGATTTTAAATTCTCCTTGAGTTTCTCATCATCAAGCACCGATCCATTCATGTTCTCCATGTCAATGGCTACTTCAGTACACTTCCCTTGAGTGTCATATGGTTCCTGCTCAATAATGATGCATCCAGTTCAGATATCTTGCTAAAAAAGGCCTTTCTGCCTCTATATTAATGTCAAAACAATTGTTGTATGTATGCATGCGAGAGAGGAGAATGGATCATTTAAAGTTACAAGGACTCAATCACAGTAGCAAGTGGTAGAAGATGATATGTGAAAAAATAAATATACGTGAAAGCAATTTTACTGGATTCCCTTCATAAAAATAAAACCTTACTTTTTTTCTGTTTCTAAAGTATCACTGACCTCAGATTTTTCAGATTTTCTATCAATAGATGGGTGATCTATTGAATCATTTACCGCAAGACTGGTATCCTGAGTTGCGGTCATAAGTAAATTTTCCTCCATATTAATGGCCACCAGTTGACTGAAATCTGATGAAGAACCTATATCTGCCGGGATCCTATATGCTAAAACAGACTTTGGAGACGAGGATAAACTTGAATTGTTAGAAACATGTTCAGCCACAAATTCTGGCAGGGTGGATGATGTAGTTGGATCAATAAAAGGTTGGTTTACCGCAGAAACTCCAACTTCTATTGCACTTTGATCTTCTTTACTGCCTTGAGTTGATGTCGGGTTGTCTTCAGCTTCGACTGGCATTAAAATGCTCTGAATGTCTAAATCTTCTGTCGGCCTTTCAGAATCTCGGTCGACATCTTTGAAGTCTTCAACACGATCCTTAATTTGAACTGGTGGGTCATTCACATTGTTGATGTTTGCCTCCTCTCTAGACTTCTCAGGAGAATTCAATGATTTACTCTCTATATGATTGCTAGATTCTGAATTACTTTCCACAGCTGGTTGTGACAAATCACCTATGACAGCTTGCATGACTCTTTCAGCTCCACTATCTCTTTCTTCATTTGATTTCGAGTCTTCTAAGTGATCACTTATGAGGAACGTTGAATCATTTACGTTGTAAGTTTCGTCACCTATGCCCTCTACATACTTCTCAGAGTTAAACAATGATTCGATCTTGATATTGCTATTTGATGTTGAATTATTTCCCTCAGCTGGTTCTGATAGATTGCCTAAAACTTCTTGCATAATGGAATTTTCAGCTTCAACATGTCTGTTTTCATTTGATTTCAAATATTCCCTGTCATCGTATGTGACTCTTTCATTTGCATCGCACTTCGTTGTCTTCTCTTCCGCAGAATTCCCAGAAGCACTCAGTGATTCCTGTTTTATTTACGGAGTAGCAAAGATGAGTCCAACAGCCTTTTTCTAATTATTTTCTTTATTTAGAGAAAGATGACTTGGCATATAAAAACTAATATGTTCTAATATGCTGAAAGATCGTTGAAGAATTGATGCACTAAGGCTGTAAATTGGATAGACAATAAGCACAACAATAAATTGTTTACCAGAGTATTAGTTATAGATTCGTTTCTTCACTAAAAGCTGTCAGAAGATTAGCGTGCACATATAAATCAAAAATTGTAATTTAATCCAAGTTCATTCACAAACCATAACCATAACACTATTGTATCATTAAAATTATTAACTGACCTGGGGTTCCGGAAAGTACACTTCAGAAGGCGAGTGAGACATTGAACCCTCCATCCATCGCGTTCCTTCCAGGGAATGTTCAGGTAGAACTACATCAGAAGAATTAGAAGGCCTCTCCTCCCTTACTTCTTCAACTTCGTCCACATCAGAAGCATTAGAAGGCCTCTGCTCCCTTACTTCATCAACTTCGTCCTTGACATGATTAGATAGTTTAGGATCAATTTTCATTGAATGGGCTTGATCCTCTTGAGATATTTCAGCTCTTGAAGATGATGACGGCCACATTGATGATGAAATTGGAGTCTCGGCTTCGTCCCAGACCCTTGAGAACTCTACTTCTGTCATACCCTCTTCCCCTTCCTCGTATATTTGTCCAGGTGCCTTTCCATGTTCTTGAACTTTTGGTGCAAGTGGTGAAGCACCCCACAGTTCTTCACTCCCAGAAGTGAATTCCTTCTCGCTATCCCCATCATAAATCAAGGACTCGTCATCATTGGATGAAGCAGTTCCATCTTCAATTAGAGGGGGTGAACCAATTTCTGAGACCTCCACTTGCATGTCAGAAGCTATGGAGTGGTTAGGGGTATGCCCAGGCTTGAGCTTGTAAAAGAAATGTTCCTCCATTCTCGTGCTGTCAATTGCAGAAGGACTGGAATCATATGAAGGTTCAGCTACAACTCTAGCCCTAGGAACTGGACAAGGGAGAGAGTTC